TACAAAAAATATTTAGTCATAGCTTTTAATTTTCTCAGTCCCTTACCCCTTTCTCAGTTTTTTTTCAAGAGCCTTTTAAAAATGGATTATCTGAGGTCATAATATGTACTATGGATTGGCCTCTAGATTCATTTATTGAGGTTGAAATTGCCTCATATGTATGCGTGTGTGTATATATACAGATACATGTATAAAAAAATCTGCTGCTTGTTTCACATAAAGTTCAGTGCATCAGGTGAGCCATTTGCAGGATTTGATATTGTTGAAGTGGTTAATGCAAACAGATATTTTATGGTTTTGAGTGTGGTAGCAAAGAATTGGCTTTGATTGCTGTATGCAGTTCTACAATCAATATTTTCCTAGTTTTCACAATCTCCTGATGTGTGAATTTTTCCTTTTAAGAGAAAATAGTGTAGATGTAAATTAATCTCCGTTTTCATCAGTAAGATGTATAGAAATAAGATTTAACAAATTCAGTTCTGCTTAACTCAGTTTGATTTTGGAGGAAAAATTAATGTGAAGACTGCCAAAAGAATGTTGAGTGAATGCAATATGGTTTCAGTGTTTCAACAGACAGATACAAATAAATTGACTTGCTGTGGTGGTGAAAAAGACATGTTTCAGTAATTTGGGTACCCCAAAAGCCTTACCTCTCTTAGAGGTATGGGTCAGACTTTAGGTGCATACAGTACAAAAGTTTAGCAAGAGATCCAGACTATCTTGTTGTATTTCCACTGTTAGATTTTTGTTTGTTGCAATAACAAGAACCATTTGGCAAATGATGCAGGCGAATCTTGCCAAATATTTTAAATACTCTTAAAAATGCATGACTTTTTAAACTCGTACTGTTTAAACATAAAAGCCAATGCTAGGACTTTCTGCCTGTGTAAAGGTAAACTGAGTCCACAGGAGTTGCTAGGGACTTATATGCGTAGTAATTTAGTTCTAAATGCTGTTGGAATATGTTGCTGCTTCTCTTACCCCAGCTTCTGAATGCCTATAAAAATTTTTTTTTCAAAGGTTCTCTGCCATATAAAACATGAGCAAGCCTAAACCCTTTAAAAATAACTTGTACTGCTAGCAACGTCAATGCCTTCTAATACAGAAAATGAGAGAACTGTCAGCACAAGGGAGATTTAGGAAGACAGACATTTTCTTGTGAGCTGGTGGAGGGACACCGAATATGTGTTCAGCCATTCTTATCACTAGAAGAGCCAGATACGCATTGCAGGTGAATTTGATCTCAATCTACATCTCCTTCTAAGGATCGTTGGAAACAACCACTATGTGCCTGCTGTTCTGTTCATAGACCTCAGCCTCTGTACTTGTGATCTGTACAGTCTGTGACAGCCTTGCGTCTGCTGAAGCAGCTTTTATAAAGAGAACTAACAATGAACAGTTAAGCACATTGATGGAGCAGGTACTGGAGGTCTACTGAAAAAAATGACTTCTTAAAGGAGCTTACTCTCTGTGCCTTGCTGGATGAAGAAAAATGGAGTTCTTGTCCATGCATTTAAATATTCTAATGACAGGGTTTCCAAAGTCTTACTTGGTTCTTCAGTTACATACACGCAGTAGCTGTTGAATAAACCAATAGACCACAAAGGACCAGCCTATGGAAACAGGTAGAGGGAAACATCAAGATGATCAGTTGAAGATAAGACCCCTTACTTTTGCCTTTCAGAAGACCTGTGCCAACCTTACTTTCTGCAGCCTGTGCCTCGCAGCATGAATGAGTAGCAGTACTTGATTTAATACAAAATACTGTCTGCCTGCTCAGCTCATTTATTCAATACCATATTAAATTATGGTAAAACCACTTACGAAAATATCACAGCTGTTTGTAGAGTCTTCCAGACAGCATCATCACAGAAAGAGTTACTGTCCTCAAAAAGTTTTGCTTTTTTGAGGACTTGTTTATAAAAATGAAAACCTTCCCAAGGCAGCTTAAGCAGTACAGGAGGAAATCACTTGAAAGAAACAGATCCCTGTTCTTTTACTGGTGAACTCAGTCACTTGGGGCTTGTTTGCTTAGTTTGGATTTTTTCGCCACATATTCTCAGTTTCAGAACCATAGTTTGGAGTTCGAAGACAACCTTAATAAATTTATTATAGTAAAGGGGTTTTTTTTGGTTCTAAATAGCCAAAAATGCATGGAAAATAATATTTTTATGTCTTTTTACTACCTTTTTTCACTAAACAATGCTTTACTAGGTGTGTGTAAGCACAGAATGAAGAATTAGTAGCATGTTTTATCAAATGGACCTGTCAGCTTAGAAATTCTACTGACCATGTAACCACTAGTTTATGGTGCAATGTTAACTCCTTGATTAACATCATTGACTTAGTCCGTGGCTTCACCATGGAATGGAAATTAATTCATTTTGAGGTGGTGGAGAATTGACAATGCTTCTGAGAAATGATAATGTCATGATTACAGAAGTGAAGATATTGCAACAAATGTACAGACTTAGAAGAAAGAATCTTAATCAATACCTGTTGTCCAAACTCAATCTTAATGCAAGGCACCCTCCAGCTCTGCCAAGGTACAATGGTATAAACTTTCTAGAAAGAAGTCAAGAATAGATTGATTGGCATTGCTAGTGAATTACTGATTATTTAGGCATTAGAGGTATATGACATACAATATAAGTTTCAGTAATTCCTACACACTTTGGATGTTGCTGAAGTACCTTACATTTAAGAGCTTTGCTGAAGAGCTCTGTGATTTCTCATGTGTTAAAAATTAAGCATGTGGAAAAGAATTCTGAAGAATCAGGGCATAATTTTCCTTAATGCTACAATTGATTTCTAAGGGACTAGTTAGGGAGAAAAATCTACTTATCTTGAGTAAAGGGTAGCAGAACTCTACCTAATAAATAGAATTTTTGAAAAGACACTGGGTTTTTTATAGTCTGTTCCCTTGACAATCTAAGATTGTTCCCTGTAATGTTGAATGCTCTATTTTTTAGCTCTATATTTAGTTTAGTTGTAAATGACTAAAACTGTGGTGCTTCTATCACTTCCTCAGTCTGTATCATAAATCTGAACATGTATGTGTTTTCTTGGTTTTGCTCAATAAAACAAATAACAACAGATCTGAAAGAGACATCAGAAAACTACTCATTCTTAATTCCTGTGAATGATTGATCATTTCACTGTTATGTTGAAGTATATAATGATTTCTGTCAAAAGAATTTGAGGTTGAGTTTGATTAATGAATACCATTATTTGGGCTGATGTCCCAGAGGATTTGTCTTTACCAAAATATTTTTTCCAGAATGGGCACTTTTAAAATTAGACTAAGCACTTCTGTATAATATCTATTTCAACTCCTAGACAAGTCACCCTTTTATTCAATTAACATTAATATTCCAAGCTTTACCATGTAATTTCCCAGTATTATAGTATAGACCTGTTTCTCTGGCTGCAGCAATCACCTTCTGCAAGAAAATCAGCTGATAAGAAAAGAAAGAAAACAGAAATGTGTTGACAATAATATGAGACCTAAAATGAGTGTGTACATTTTTGGAGGATGAATCCTTAGATGTTCTTGAATTGTGTTTTTCTAATGAGTACCATGGGGTATTGATCAAACTCATCATGCCTTAATTGTTGGTATCATGAGAACGGAATTACTCTTCCTATTTTTATTTTCCCTTTTTTTGAATTTACAGTTCAGCAGTCTAAGCTTAGAAGGAAAACAAATATGAATTAATTTTGCCAAGTGATTCTAAAACTCATTTTAATTAGTCCCTTACACTCTACAGTTAACCTTGATTGCATTTCATATTTTAGATTTTCTTGCTTTGTATAATGAGGAATACTGCCTACTAATAATGTTAGTAAAGCAGAAAAATAAATTGATACATTTTTCTACATTAGCAGTGCAGTTTATTTTTCCAAACTCCTTTGATCAAAAGGTCTTGATATGTCAATTTTGCTAAATTTTGTCATCTACCTCTGTGTGTAACTGATTACATTTCTTGATTTAAGGATTAAGAAGTCAATGAGAAAGTTACCTGGAAGTGAGCTGGAAGACAAAGTCAGTCTTAGTGAATTATTAATGTGTGGATTTCACTACATCTGAATCTACTTACTGTATCTGACTGTTAAAATTTAAATGCTTGATGTATAACAGATTATGAAATTTAAGCAAAATCTATCTTGGTTTATATAAATACATAGATCTTGGAGTTCCCGTAAATAGAAAATATATTCACAGAGGCACATTAATTCCCAAATAGGGAGATCTTCTTACCCACTTATGTCCTACCTGGTTTAATATCTTATTCAGCTTTGCAACTGCAAATTCCACTCTTGGACTGCTGCCTCAGAAACCCATACAAATTTTGGTTTCTAGGTCTGAAAGGAACTATATTAAACCCATAGTAATAGATCAGTTTGTGTTTTATTTCTGAAAGGTTTTGCTCATTATATGTGAGCCTTAAGGTAAAAGAACCCTGATTTAAGAGCTAGAGTCTCCTTCATAACTAAGGACCTCTGCAAGAGGTCCTTAGCCAGTGCTGAGTGGTTCAAAACAGCTGTGCAGTGTGAGTCATGGTGGATGACTTTTTTTGTCAGACTCTTTCAGTGGTCAAATCTTCTCTCTAGCATCACACAGAAACACTGGACACAGCTGGTAAAGACAGTGGTGTTGGGTTTGCATGGTAGAAGTCTTTACAGCTGAACTGTGCCAAAGTTCTCATGGGTGATTGGCACATGAACCCTATGAGGAAAACATCCGCTCTTCAAACCAAACAGGATTACCATAGAGGTGTTGCTTTCTCAACATGTATTCCATAAAATGGAACTTGGGTAAAGTTTATGGTTTGTTACTTCACCTCTAGTTTTCATCTTTTTTTTCAGTATTATTTAACTTGTCCACCTCCATTCTCTTTTTCATTCTCAGGAGATTCCAATTTGCTTATCAAGTTTTCTTTCTCTCTCTCTGTTTTTCTCTTTCTTCCCCTCCCCCTCCCTGTTTCCCTTTCATCCAGATGGAATGCCATTTGCTTGGTGGGTTGGCCGTGCCAATGAAAAGCATCTTTACTGGGGAGGATCTCTTCCAGGCATTCAACAGTGTGCATGTGGACTGGAAGAAAGTTGTCTGGATATGAGATATTTTTGCAACTGTGATGCAGATAGAGAAGAATGGTAATAAATTTTATGTGTTTATAGTTGTATCTGTGTGAGAGGTGGGGATAGGAAGTAGGGCAAGAAGGCTCAGGAAGCTCGAATGGCTTGAGTATGGTCAAATGAAAATGAGATTCAAACTAGAATGTAGACTTCTGGTTTCATCTTGAATTTCTTATTTGAAACAAAGACATGATATCTGGCCGAAGCAGTTTGCTGAGATGGATTGTTTTAAAAATTATTTGTTGTTCAATGCCAAATCCAGTTGTTCTACTTGTTTAAAAATTTCCATTGGTTCAGCTGAAGCATGAATAAAGGGTCTAGGAGGCTGGTACATGGATATACACCAGAGCAGAAAATTCAGGCATAGACAACAAAATTCAGGTACAGACAGCTAAACAACTAGAAATTTGCTTTATCAAAAAAGTCCCAATTTTTCTTTGTGAAACAGTATACCTGTGTGTGCCTTAACTTTATTTTACATCAAGTCCCAAGCATTTTAAAGTTAATGGAAAGACTTCCTTTGATTACTGTATGCTTTAGATCAGTCTCCATAGGAAGTTTTAGATTTACAGCATGAACATTCAAAGTCATCCTTGGGTTTGGACCTTTGTAGTCTGCTGCGTGAATTTATGAAAGCACCCTCACAACCTTTTTCCATCGTCTTTACCTTCAGAGACTGTCCAGCAGCTGAGAGCTAGTTGGTGAACTTTCCAATTAATTCCATATTTGTGCTGAAGGGGACAGAAATGCCAGATGAGTGTTGTTAAAAGTATAATTTTAAACACTGAAAAGGCATGTGAAGACTCTGCTTCACCCTCTCTCCCTTCTGAACTCACTGATAGGAACTGCTGCCCTTTCTCTAAAAATAAAGATATTTTAACCTTGAGAAATTATGAATAATGGTTGTAGACAAGAAATGTCTTGCTGTAACAGGCTACTGTGTTTGAAATAGTAACTGAATTATCTCTGTGAAACCTTCACTTAAAACAGAATGAGTGGAAAGGAGCTGTAAGGGGTCTTAAAACCAAAAGAGTAATTCAGAAATGACTTGTCACTGTGTGAGGCTTTTTTGGTTGCTCGATTTCCAGACAGTGTGATTATTCTCTTGGATCCTTTATATCCCTGGAGTCACTGTTCACTTTCAAAAATCATAGCCATAAGGGTATTTCTTCATGAAGATCATTATGTAAATGTCGGTTTATGAATGTGGTTTGTATAGATGTTTAAAGAGGGGCCTGGCTGTGCATGTTAATCTATTTTTTCTTTAATGCTGGCTTGTCAGATGCATTTTTGGTGAGGTTTGCGCATGAGCATGAAAAGCATCTGTTTTTACTGGGGCTTCGCTCTTTTCATAATCCGGATTTCACCTTTCAGTGAGCTACTAAAGTGGAGCAGGGTGTGTCGTGTTCACACAGCACTGGAATTGTAATCTGAGATTGACAGACAGTGCACTATTAGATTGTACTAACAAATGCAAGGTGAAAGGTAAACGCAGTTTTATAATGTTTCAGCTGACCTTCCAAAGGAAATGAGACCTAAGCAAGTTATGCTGTGGATGTTTATCATCTCCATTTTCACCCCACACCCACTGATTTTGAACAAGCAGACACATTTCAAACATCTTCAGCAGAGAAGGAGAAATCTCAAAAGTATTAGAAATTACACATTCTATGAAAATTTATGCCAGGCTGAGGGAAAAAAGCCGATTAAAACCCACAAGAAGGAAGTTAAGGAAGCATGCACTTTTATTAGATTTTGGAAAACCCTCATGGGAGAGAGATGTTGGAAATCATGCTTCATTAGCTTGGCAGCAGACAGATCTACTTGTTTCTCCTGATTTCATAATAATAACAGGATATGCATAGGAGTTTCCCCAGCTAAACTGCCTACTGTTTGTTGGTTTGGGGATTCAGGTGTTTTGTTTTGGTTTTAAATCCATTTGAAATTTGGATTTTGGTAGTACTCGAAATTGCAGGTTGCCTTTTTAAAAGCTAAAAAAATCTTGACCTTTACAAAGAGTTTCTAAACATAAGAAATTTCATGCCTTTTGAAGATAGCTTTATGTTTCTCTGCTAGAATACTGACCACCTGATACGTAATGAGCATTTGAATTTGAAACCTGCTAAGATCTGAACTGTGACTTTAACCTGTGACTTTCACATTATAGTGAAAGGAGCAAGACAGGAATAGATGCATTTATTTGCCTTAGCATGAAATAAAATGGGTGCTGCAGAGTGGAAAACCAGAAAATCATTTTCACTCCTTTTACATAAATCAGGCTGCTCACTGCAGCTCTGAAGAAGGAATTCACCAGAATAGTTAGAGTGTCCTGAAGAGAAAACAGGCACAGGTTTTTTATTTGGTTTCCCTAGACTAAGTCTTAGGTGCAGAAGAAGCTACTAATTTCTCGGAGCAGCAAAATAAATGGAAAACTGGAGAAAACAGACCTGGAAAAAGTCCTGAGCCAGGTGTTTGCCAGTACAAAATGCACACTTCTAGGCATGCTGAGTTTTAAATGATATCTAAGCAGACATCTGAGCCAGATATTACCTCTGGGCTCTTACTTGACACCAGTGAGTTCCCCTGGATGAACAGAAATATAATAGGTTCTATGCTATGTGGGGAAGGCTTTTGTATTTTTCACCTTTCTTTTTATTAAAGCACTCTAGTGAAAAGTGTCTTCTTCCATCTAGCTACTCACTGTACTTCCAAACCCCACAGTTTGATGACAGCTAATTTTGTCACTACAGGGTAGTGGAACATCTTCATGGTTTTTGCTGGAGAATGGGAGAAAACCTCTGCTGAGGGATCAGAGACATAATTTGTAACCCTGACTCAAGCAAGGCATCTGACATGACTTAATGCATGCTTCCAAAAAGGAGAGCTTCCTGACTGCTGAAAGGTCTTGCTAGTGGATGGGAAGATCTATAGAAATCAGTGGCCACAAGCTGAAGCTAAATCTAGTTCAGAAAATATTTTCTTTTTCTCCCTTTCTCATCCCAAACACTGAGAATAGTTAACTGTTGGGACAAGTAATGCTACATGGAGGCAAATGAAGCCCTCTTTGGGTGAGTTACATTTGTGCAAAGACGTGCCAGAGCCAGGATGCTGAAACTGGAAGGGCTGAGGAGAGGAGGAGAGAGAAACCCAGACACTGACAAGCCCAGATTTGACAGGTTTTGTTCATTCAGCCACTATTCTGCACTGAATCTGTTTCCCCAGAAGTGGTGGAGGCAGCTCCACAGAGCCTGTGAGCTCATAAATAAACCCTGCTGGAGGTGACCTGGCTGTATAGAGCTGTCTTGGATATCTGCCTTCATGACTGCATTTGTCAACAAACTGGAAAATCTGCCTGCAGAGAGCTGACTCTAGCAGGCCCCTGAGGTGTCAGGAATCAGTTCATTACTACCACTACCAAACTCTTCCTCTGTACCTTTTCTCTAATTCAACAAAATATATCCACTGCATTTTGACTTCAACTATTAGGTATGTCCCCTTCTGCTGCTGTTTTTTTTCTTTACTCTGTACTCTAAGTTATTGTACCCAGTAAAGCTTTTTTGGATGTAGCTGGTGGGTAAGAGAGCAATTAAAATTTATTCCTTTGGATTATTAATGATACGTCCTGCATAGGGCACAAAACTTTTCTTATGGAAGTCTGTTTCGCTAGCCCTTTTCTCATGCGGTTCGTTGATGTCTGCTGATTGATAGTATTCTTTTCCCCAAATGTACTGTATTCATGAAAATCTGTACTGAATATCTGAGCTACTGAGGCTTAGACCCCACCAGTTTTCATTAATGTACAAGAAGAAAACGTACCAACAGGGCATCATACAAGAATAAATTATATTTAATGGCACCACTGCTCTAGTATCTGTTTAAAATATACAGAAACAGCAACCTGGAGATTACCAATATATGATGGCATGTACTGTTGGGATACCATAGAGTGAGAACTTTTTGGCCATGCTGTTATTAATAGCCAGGAAGAAGAAAAATAGTCTCCTAAGGTTACCACCAAAATAGTTATTTGTCATTTATAGGTAAGACTACCTGTGCTACATCTCGAAGTATTCAGTTGCTGCACTATCACCTTTAGCATTGCTGCACTTGCAGTGATTTTTTTTTTCCTTTGCCCCTCTCCCCAAACAAACAGAGCATTTGTTTGATGTGTAACATGCCTCAGCTTATTGAGGAAGTCCTTTGAGTAGATACAGACATTAATTCTCAGACACGGATAAAGAGATGACATGCAACTGTATTTAATACCCATAACTAAAAATATTTCAGTTTTTCAATTCAAAGGACATTATTTGGTTTGTTTTGTTTGGGTTTTGCTTGTGGGAAGTACAAATTGATACCACCCTTTATGCAAAAAACTCAGAGAAACATCTGTTTCTTGAGGGTGCTTTCCATCCTCTGAAATATATTCAGATTTTCATCTGAATTTGTGCCAAATTGAGTGCCAAGTTGGGTAAGCAGAAAGTCTACTTCCCAAGCTTATTAATGCATTTATATAATTTTCTGCATCTATAGGACTTCTTTCAGGAAAGGGATAAAACCTGCTTTGATTTTTGTGAACTTGGGACTTAACTTACATTCCTGGCCAAGGAGTATCACTCCCCAGGACCCCCCTGCAGGCAGGACCAACCTGTAGTTCTCAATACTGAGAAGTGGGGCATAGCATGGTACAAAAGGCATGCTTAGTGGAAGTGGCCAGAGAATGCTGTGTGAAACCTGCTAAGAAAAATAAAGTAATGGTTTTGGCTAACCAGAGAAGCAGCTGTGGAAAACCAAACAGAATCGGGTTTTAAGCGTATGTGACCTGCTCAGTGAAAATACATACAAGAAAAACTTTTTATTTGAAAACTGTAGTACAGTCAAGTGATCCCCAAACCTCCTTCGGGCAAAATTCGAAGTATTTTGTCCAAAATGTGGAATATTTGTAGTGCCACGGCAGTGTCTCTGGGAAATTATTTTACAGGTACACACTCCTCTCTGAGGCATAATACACTGTATTTGAGAGGCTGCCATCACACACCAGGTAAAGAGAAGAGGAATTGCGGTGCTTTGTAAGAAGTGGAGTATGAAATAAGTTTAACTTCAAGAATACCAGGAATTTAAAACACTCAAAATTTAGCTCCTGTGAGGGCCTGCATCATATGTTCAAACCTCTTTTCTGCTTTTCTTAGTTGAAACTTCCAGACTTTTTATCAAAAACTTCATTTCCCACCATGAAATAATAATAATAAACTGTAACAATAGGTACATTGTTCCTGTCATAAGCACATTTTCTGAAGGGCAGAATGTTTTCCTTACAGGTTTTGTTTCAGCATCTGCTTGTATGAGAATATCTATCCTTACACAAGTCTTTTTTTATCATGCATGAGAGGATGAAATACATAAAATGTGCTGTTTGAGCTTCAAGAGAAACTTGATTGAGTTTTCAAGGCATTAACATAAGAGTGTGTATTCTTATTAGTTCTAGAATATTTTTCTTTCTCACAGCTGAGCTGTGTTACTAAAGTTCTCTGTGACACTGGCATGTAACTAGTAAAAACTCTGAGTCTTAAAATTCTACGTAAAAGAACTTCATGCAATAAAACAGAGTATCTAATAAGGAATGCAGTTCTCAGAGTTGTGGAATAGATCTCTTTAAAATGTCACCATTTCATTTTTTTTTGTAGATATCTTCAGTGGTAGCTGTAGGAAGATACTGATTTTTATTTTAATGCTGATCATAGCTAGTCAAAAGACTGCACTATTTTTTGAATGAAAATAAATTTGCAGAGAACCTCGAACCTCCTTAAATATTTTGTGGATTTTTTTAATTATTTTATTTTTTAAAGCAAATGCCAGCTTAGTTATTCAGGTATTTATTGCATATTTTGTGTCTTCTTTGTGTGCATCTTTCTGCCTTTTATTCATTCATACTCTTCTTACTCCCACCTACTTAAGCACCTTATTTAATTATCTTCCTAAGAAATAAATAGTTCAGCTTTTGTTTCAACTGTTTCATAATCTGTTGAGAGCATTTACACTAACTTTCAAAGGCTGATAAAATAAGCTGTATGAGTATGCTGCTGAGAGACCTCCGTGAAGAGATTTGGAAATCATGTACTTTTGATTGATAGTACTTCTCCTTCTGAGCCTGTACTGAAGGCATCACTCTGCCTTGTGCCTGGGAATTTTGTCTTTCTGCATTTTGTCTGTAATTATCTGCATGACAGACACCCGCTGAAACAAGGAAAAAAAAGGTAGTCAGAGAGGGTACCTCTCCTTTTCCCCTTAGAATTATAAGAAAATTAACTGTGCTGCATGCAATTAGAAACAATGAAAAATGAATGAAATGTATGCAGCCTTTGTAAAAAATATCAAAATATCCCTTCTAACATTAAACAGAGTAGCACACTTAGCCAAGCAAACATCTGAGGTTGTGTGTCAGCATAGCTGCAGTGTTCTTCCTGATTATTATTTCTTTGCTGAAGTCCTGTGTCCCTTCCCACAGCTGAAACTATGAGAGGTATGTTTGTGGAAGGTGTTATTACGAGCAGGTTATAGGTAGTCTGGGATCCTGTCTGGAATATCAGATTCTTTAGCAGTGGTATCACTCAAAAAGTGATACCTTTTTCCTGAGGCCTTTTGTCATAGCTGCCTGAAAGAGCAGTGGGTGTAAATTTGGGATTATTGCAGAATGTAGTCTTTGCCTCTAAGCAGACAGGTGAGTTGAGTCCAGACCCTTCGTGCAGATTGCTAAACCATGCAGAGGTAGGGATCCCTTTCTCCAAAACTATTAAGATTCAGCTCCGTTAAGGATGTGCTGCCAAGCTTATGTGCCCAGGTACTCAGCAGACCTCAAGCCTGAGAAAAAATTCTAGGAGAAGGAAAAACTCATCACTGTGGAGTTAAGATATGGTAGCACTCTCCTCTCTATAATCTATCAATTGATAGAGATATACCTCAAGAGGGCAGCTTGGTTCTGGTAAGGTCAGGGTTGGATGCCTGAGGGACTCAGGTCAGTTCATAAAGCACAGTGGAATGAAGGCACATCTGTACACCCTGCCAGAGTCAAAGCTGCTGCTCGGTTTAGGGGCCAACGGCTGCCATGAAATGCTATGCTGCATTTTGAGGACAACAATTTGCCCAGCACACTCAGAGTAAAAATGAAGAAATGATCTTTTAGGAATCTTTCTTTTTTTTCTTCTTCCTTTCTAGCAGCCATGTGTAAGTTAGTCGCAGCTGAAGAATAAGCCTAGCTGACACAAACAAGAGACTTAGTTCTACAATGCAGTAAATCAGCCTTCAGTATTTCAGTTGCTGAACCAAAATTCACAGAGGCACATAATGCGAAGGGCTGATTCAGTCCAAACTCACTCTGCTAATCCAACCATCTTCACAGCATGCTGAGTCAGTTGTGTACCAGCTATCTTGCAGTTGGATCAGATATTGTCTGGCTGCCCTATGCTAATTACATGCTGGGTCAGGTATTGTGCGTCCTCTTCTTGCTCGGATGAAGTATAAAGCCAGCATAAATGTCGTTATGTGTCTCCAGCTAACTTAACAGAAATGCAAACTTGGACTTAAACCTGATCCACATCAAATTCATTCTGATGAGGAAACCCAGCAGAGCCCAGTTTACGTTAATGCCCATCAGGCAGAATGGCAGTACTCTGCCTCAGCTTCACAATCAGTCTGCACAGCCGAAACGGTTACAGTCCATGCCTGACGTTATCATGTTTCCATGTGTCTTCAGTGGCCAGAATTATGTATGAGCATAAAACATACACGTGCATGTATATGTCTTAAGCAGTGTGTGCCGGTCACAATTGTAGGCAATTCTGCAGAGGACCTTCCATCCTTAAGTATGCATCTTTCAAATATAGCCTTGCATAAGGAATGCTGGGGATTTTGTCTGTGGTTAATCTGTCTCCTTCTGTTTATTATAATCCAGGACAAATGACACTGGCCTCCTTGCTTTCAAAGACCATTTGCCTGTAACTCAGATAGTGATCACTGACACAAACAGATCAAATTCTGAAGCTGCTTGGAAAATAGGCCCTTTGCGTTGCTATGGAGACAGTGAGTACTGGCTCTTCTCAATTTCCATAGGTACAGAATGTTCCCTCTTTTTGTTTTGTTGGGTTTGTTGGGTTGGGGGGTGGTGGTTTATGTAATTACCTGATGAAAGGTGGCTTTTCCACGTGCAGCTCACGGCTGCTGTCCTGTGCCAATTAACTATGGAGAAGGGTGTCGTGTTTTCAGGGCAGTTCTGGAATGCCGCTTCTTTCAACACGGAGGCCTCCTACCTGCACTTCCCCACCTTCCATGCCGAGGTCAGTGCAGACATCTCCTTCTTCTTCAAAACTACTGCCACCTCTGGGGTGTTCTTGGAAAACCTTGGGATTAAAGACTTCATACGAGTTGAAATAAGATGTAAGTTTCACTTCCAAGAAATCTTAGTTTATTTTCCCAGTCTGACAACTGCAGGGAAGTGAGAAGAACATACTACTTCTGTCTTGGAATGGTGGGAGGTACCCGAAGAGGGTAAGATGGAGACATATAGACTCATTAATCTAGACTTATCTACATCTCCTGTCAAAGTTTCCCTGTATAACCTTGGTCATTACATCTAGTTATAGCTAGGTTTGTCTTTCTTAACCAAACAGGTGGCTGAAATTACTTTTTCAATTACTTTTTTTTTCCTCTTTAGAGAAAAAGCTACTGGTTAGATGTACCTGTAGATTGTAATTTTAGGTGAAAAAAAAAATAGTTGAAAATTTTAGTACAACCACTCTGATGTTTACTTTTATTTCTGTGTAGTAATATACCCAGTATGATACAGCTCTAGTGTTTCAGAGAACTCAGTGTGTATGATACACCCACGAGGTGAGAGTCTATGAAGGACGGGATGCTAATGCAAGATAAGTCAGTCACAGTTGTAATGGGCCTTGAATATTTCAAAATCTAGTAAATAACTGAAATATAACTATTAGTCTATAATGAAGAGTAGCAGGGACTTATTTAGTGAGGTTTTGCCTCACTCCTGTTTTTATGACTTCAAATATTTATTAGTTACAAAAGAGTACTGTTGCTTTGACATGAAATGTGACTTCTGTATTCTACATTCTGTTAAGCTTAGGAAAAACAAACTGTGCGCTATGCATTTTACAACATGCTTATAATATACCCAATATAAAATTTAATAAAACAGGGCCCCAAGGCCCTTCAATTCATTAAAAAATGGTAAATGTCATGGTGTGTTATCACGAGGTAATGAGGTATGATATACCGTTAATTACACATCAAATTCCAATGAGGTTGTACTTCAGTGTACTGCATTTCATTCTCAGGGATATAGAAGTAGAATGGCATTCTGATATCAAATATTACAAATACTGTAAACTACTAAGAGGATTGTTTAATGAAAGCTTTTGTATGTATGGTAAATCTGTACTCCTAGAGAAATGAGTTCTTAAAAGTCTCGGGAAAGTCTTCCTTTAAATGTAGGTTTTTCATTAGTAGTTTGGTGTTGTGTTTCTTGCTGCCAGATGGAATTTGCAGCCTAAAGGCCTTGTATCAAGGAATCTCCACAGACCAGCTGCTTCATAGGGAAATGGCCTTTTAACAGATGCAGGGGCTCAGAATAGATCTTCGTATATCCCTATGGAGTGTTTCCTATCTTAACTATCTAAGAAGCAGCTTCTAAACCAGGCCTATCCAATTTGTTGGGCTTGAAATAACAGGTTTTTATGAATTTTCAATCCACAGCCTTCTGGTTGTGTGGTCTGTGGACCTGGATCTTGGTCTTTCTGGTATATTTAACATTTTAGGAGGAGGAAAAATAGTCAGTAGCAAGAATGTTAAAAAGTTCTGTCTGCTTTCAGGCTTCCAGCAGAGGGACTCCTGTATATCAGTGTTGTTTTTCAATTATTGTCCTGTTTCTAGGAGCCCTACTACCTCTGGATATGTGTTACATATGCCTTTTTAGTTTTAGACCACAAAAAAAAAAAAAAAAAGGGGGTGTCAGGCTTACTCAGGGAAACAAATGCTTCTAGGATTCTCTTCTATCGTATGCAGCCAAGTTCTGTAATTGTTTAGTACATGCATTTTGAAAGATTTAGGCAGAAAGACCTCCTTCATCCTTTCCTTCATCTTATCATTATTTGTCCAAAATCTTTTACTACCATTGTGTGACTTCTGTACAGCATTTGACACTTTTTGAGGTAAAAGAGAACTACTATTTGTAGAGCACTGCAATTGTTATAGCAAAAAGGATGGGTACCCACAGCCAAGCATAATCACAGCAGAGATCAAACAGTGAGGCTGCAGGCATAGATTTATGTATAAGCTGCTGTGTAGGAGATGGGAGGTAAATGATGCTGTACTATTTGCTGACATAAAAGTTAATGGACCCTATACTTATGTAAGATTTCTTCATGTCAAAAACACAATTTAATTCAGACCTTCACTTCCTCTTCGTATCTATTTGTCTATTCCAGCTCCCAAAGAGATCACCTTCTCCATAGATGTTGGGAATGGCCCCAGAGAAGCCACTGTGCAGTCTCCCACACCCCTGAATGACAACCAGTGGCACTATGTCCGAGCAGAGAGGAACCTCAAGCAAACCTCTCTCCAGCTGGACAGCCTCCCCAAGAAGGTCCTGGAGGCACCTGCTGAGGGGCATTTCCGCTTGCAGCTCAACAGTCAGTTATTTGTAGGTAGGGACCATGTAAGGGTTTCTGTAGATATATACAGTATTTCCATGTCCATGCCTTGATAATGCTATTGTTTCATCATTGAGCTTGCATGTGGTGACCTATTCTTCTTTCTGTTCTTCCACTCCTGCCTAGGCAACGTAAAGTAAACCCAGACTTCTGCATTTATGCTTAAAACATGAACCATAGCTTAACCATGGTATTAGATGGTATTCTTAGGGTCTAAGATTGCTTGAAACGTATTTATTGCCAAGGAATTCGTAGTATTTCTTCTTGTGCAGCACTAGATGTGTAATTTGCTGTAGGAAATGTGATCTCTCTTTTTAGATGCAATGTAAAAGCACAAATTCATCATAAAAATTTCTGGGTCACAGCTTGATGACAGCGTGGTTTTAAAGTCTGTTCCTTCAATCATGCCTGCCAAAACCCTTTTTTGGCCATAGAGTGCATGTATAAGAGAAGTGTGAACACAGTCAAAGCAAATACAGTTATTTTAACTGAAGGTGATCTTTAAAAATAATAATATAAAAAAAATCAGTAAATAAGAAGTCTCCATTTGCATATACTTTGTTTCCCTATCTCCCTTGACAATGAAATCAATATTGGGGCCAGCTTGTACTTGATAATATAATCAGGGATAACAAAGGGAATTTTGCCTTTTCTTTATTCAAGCACTGTCTTTCTGAGTAATCTTTTCAGTGATGGAGTGGGCTGTAACCTGCTGCTTATTCAGGGCCACTAAGGTAACTACTGATTCTTTCCATAAAATGGGTTTTCTTAGCTGAAATGCTGCAGTAAACCTCAATCTGTCAATTCATTTTAATGAAGTTTACCTGTGTATCCACACCGTTTGATTTAAGAAGATTTGGGGGCAGTTATTTGAGCTGTTTATTGTGCACGTGTGCAGTAATTACTGGGCTCTGAACATAAGGAATTAATCTGTTAATTAATAGATACAGCTGTATCAATGGCCAGGACCTTTTCCCACACAGCTATTGATTTATACCTAAAATGATCTCTGACAGGCTCAGCCAGAGGAAAGTTCACTGAAGAATTCACAGAAGGGAGGCTTAAGACTGTCACAGCGAAAGGTTTCTGTTTCCTGGTGTGAAGTATGCTTGTAATCACTTGCTTCTTAAATGCCAAGATGATCCTAAGACCATGTTCTATGGGCGGCCAGGCCTAAAGGCAGTAGGGTTGGGCTGCCAGACACTTCAGAAGCATTAGAGAAATCTAGCCAAGGTACTGTTTCCAGTTAGAAAATGTAGAGAGCTTAATGACTGGATAGGCTTCTGTAAATTTTTTCATTGTGTCTTTTTAAGGGAGTAAAAATGAAAGACTTATATAAGGCACCAATCAAATACATCAGATATTTCAACTGCTTACCATCTCACATCTGAAAAGCAGTATTTACCTATAAGTTTGCTTCTATGCCTCAGCAAAATTAATAGGTTACCTGAACAAAATTGATGGTGGTTTTAAAGTGACGCAATCAAGGAATTGCATCATGGAAATCCATGACAGTTAAGGAACTCAACAGAGAAATGTGCCAACAGGAACTTCTGTCAGCAAAGACAAATGCAAAGCCATGCACCAGGGGCAGAATAGCATCGTGTATCGCTATAAGATGGGGATTGAGTGGATGGGTAACAGCTGTGCAGAAAAGGTCCTGTTGTTTTTGGTGTAGTGAATTTGTACCTCATCTGAATGTAGCCATGCTTTGAGGAACAGGTTTGTTCAGTGGATCTCCAGCAGTGACTTCCACCTAAATTTTTCTCTGATTGTACTTAATATTTACAGTAAACTCTAGGACATAGTTACTTTATCTCAGCCAAGAGGTGAAAAGTTCTTGCTGTGCACTAAATATATTGCATTCAATTGTCCATCTACACTTTTACTGAACCCTGAAAAAAAAGGACAGAAAACCTAATGTTTTTAGGAGTACTTTTTTCATCCCTTAGCTGTACTATATTGAAAGCCAAAACTGTTCATGACTTCAGAAGAAATGGACACCTGGGCAGCCTCCTGATTCTTGACGCTGTCACTGGGTGCTCCAGGAAAAAGTGGCAGAAGTCCAACAATACACAGATGTGGCATAATTTGTCTCTAGTGAAGGTCTCACTCCATTCTTTAATGGGAATCAACTGATTTAACACCTCAACCATGTGGAATGAATTTTATCCATCTGAAAAACAAATGCATAAACAGCATTGTAAAAAGGAAAGAAGCAGCACCACATAATATTACTCCCTACTCCCCCTATAATCCACAACTTATTTGTTTCTGCTGCATTCTGCATACTGACAGTGATTAAGGGGTTTCCAGTCTAAATGGTTCTATGTGTCAGGCTTCTGAGATAGCTTTCTATGTGTGCAGAGTGGAAGGCAGAAATGACTTTTCGCTGCCAGCACACTCAAAATCAAAAAAGCCTGAATTTTGAAGCAGCCTACAAGAGTTAGAAAACCATTTCTCACTTTCTTTCAGGGGGTCTTGAGTATCTAAGTGCTTTAGGCTGCTTTATAATCTTCTGTCACAGCATGGGTATCCTTGCACCAAGCTATGTTTCTTCTGTTAATTTCAAAAAATTACAGTAGGAGCAAACCCCAAACAAACATACAGGCTAGATAATATCAACTGCACCAAACTTCCCAGCATCAGGCCAATTTGGCACATTACTTGCGGAATCATTCCTTTCAATGGACTGTGGCTTTCAGCACTCAAAACGAGTGACATCTTTTTGAATAGTTTTGTTGTCTCCCAGTATGTCCCTGTGGTCCTGGAGGAGGTGTGTCATCATCTCTCACCTAGTGGAAAAGGCATGACCGTAACATTCCAGAATGAGGAGGGGAAAGGCAGTCCTCGCAGACCTTTTTTGAGAACAGGATTTGCACTTAGACTGGTAATATTAGAGGAGCAAAATACAAATCCTAAGAAGTTAATTTTATGCATAAAGCATTTGATCAGAAGTTTCTGTGCTATTTATTTGGTATGTTAAGGAGACTAGCAAAGTTACAGTGCTTAGATTCCTGGTTTTGACTTGGGAGCAAGGACTCCTTGGGTCAATCTCCTGTCTGTTGTAGACGGTGCAAATGTAACATACTCCAGAGTCAACATCTGAGAAACTTTCTTGGGAGACAGAGAAAAAGAAAGAGAGAAAAAGAAGTGGCGTGCTTTGTTTACTGTTGTTGCTTTTAAAGGAATCTGTAGACACTTTGGGATATTTTGGAGACTAGGAGGAGGAATTAATCCTTGTGTATCCTGACAGCTTTGTGCAGCTTTCAGTTTGAGACTAATAAGTGTAACTTGGATGTCTTCTAAGGAATATCATAGCAAGTTCTCCTACTCCTGAGTAATAATAATTATGATTCTTATACTCCAATGGCCTTTCCTTTTCTTTGTATCAGTTACATAAAGGAAGAATGCTCCTAACTTATTCATGCTGCTTCAGCCTCCCTAATCCAGTTCTTACCAACAGAAAGTCCTTTGCTTTTTAAAGCAAATCCTCCATGCATTGGTGGAATGTTAATTATTCAGCCAAATGTGTCACCAAGATATACTCTAAGTGCCCAGTTGTGAGCTTCTTGCTCCCTTCTCTGACTCTGTTCCTTGCCCCAAGGCTTCTCAGTAAAATTTAGCTACATAAAACAGCATGGTTCATTTGACTGTCACCTCCACTCAGCAAGGAACACCCTTAACCTTGGTGTTTATGGTCCTGAGGCTTATCCTAAAATCTGTTTTCCTGAACAAAATATTTAGGTCATGTCCATGAAATTGTCCAGTCCAAACAGTCTATTAGACTAGGAAGAATTTGTAAAGCCTAATTTGGGGAAGAATTTTGTTTGGTTTTTGTTTTTCTCTGCTTCTCAGGAATGTATTTAAAGATTAGTTCTAATCAATTGAAAAAACTGTTCAAATGCCCAAATAATAAACAGATTTGTTTAATCAATACTGTGTGAATCTAGGTTTATTTAGATGATCTCTGTTAAGCCCTATACTCTCCAGACAGAAAAACTGAGAAACTTATTTTACATGGCTTTCCAAAGTACTTTAGAGAGCAGGAAGAATATGGGTAGTACAATAAATATGACATCTGTGAAATTGTTAGCAATAGTTCGTACTCATTCTTTAAATGTTACAGCTGGGACTTGTATGTGTGCAGAGAGAAGAGGCAAGAAAACTGTCATTTATCCTTGTGATATTTGTGGTAACCTCCCATGCAAAAGAAAACAGAGTAACTTGTAGCCTTAAAGGGAGAAGTCACACTTCTATTTATTTGAACATTATTAGAAATTCTGTATGGAATGTTTGGTTTTGGAGCAAAATCTCCAATGAAAATGATTGTGTGTGCACAGTGCAGCAAATGCAGAAGATCCAATTCTTGTGCTCAGACGACCTTTAAAATAAGTGAGCTAACATTTTCTCACCTGAAAAGAATAGCTGGCTAAAGAAGAATTTGAAAGTATTTATTTGTCTGAGAAAGGTATCATAAAATTAGCATGAAATAAACCTGTCTCACACATACTATCTGTAGTTCAATTATTCTAATTAAAATCCAGTATTTCTGCTATTAGTGTACCAGAAAGAAAAATAGGCTAGAAAGGTATAACAGAACAATAGGGTTTTGGTAAGATTGCTTTTCAGACTGTTGCTTCATTCTCTTAGTTTGCAGAAGTCTTGCTTTAATTAAACAATTTATGAAAAAACAGATGCTCTTCTGCAAGGACTTAGCAATATGTGTAATCTCTTATCTCATGCATTTTGATATAGAACCAACTTCTACAGAAGAGTAATTTGGAAAGATAGCTTCTTTCACACTAGTTTTGCAGGAAAATCACCAATAAAGCTAGCATTTCAGAGCTACAAATGCTGATAACTTCTGAAGCAGAATTAGATTTCTTAGCAGCAATCAAAATTGCAGTATCTTCAAAAGCAAAATATTGACAACTGCCAAACAAAGCCTACAATAAGAAAAATGGTGATATTTTCACAAACTACTCTAACAATCATTATTAGCATCATTCTCAGACACCACCTCTTATGGAAAAAGTGCCTTCATTATAATACTTTAGCAATTTCATTGGGCAGATAAGAAGCTAGTTACTTTGTAGAGATGGAACTGCCCTCTTGTGTAGAATCATTCAGGTCTGATGTTTAGGAAGAAATGCAATTATGTTTAACAATCGTAATAAATAACAGAACTGTGACCTGAACATGTTTTTTGCCTACAACGACCATTTACATGCAACATCAGGTTGGGCAGTCATGTATAAATTCTGACTCATTTCCCTTCACCCATGCCTGATGCTGAACATGATTCATCCTTGCTATCTGGACTCATCAGCATGTGTAACTCACCTGTTGTTGGGATTAGAGTCTTCTTTGTCCTCTGTACTATGGTAATAAATAGGAAAAAAAATCTAGATTTAGGTATGGGTTTCTCATGTATTAGGTGATATGCAGACATACAATAAAGAAGCTAATCTGTTTCCCAAATGAATTTGCAGTTCAAATGCCAGACAAGGCAGTAGATAAGGCAGGAAAGAGAATAATGGCAACAAGAAAGTGTCACATATAGCTTTTTAGTCCTTTCATAAAGATAAATAGAGACCTTTAGTTTCCAGGGCTGTCCATCTGTTATCTTCTGCCACTGTATGCATAGACATATAAGAGAGAGTATTTTTTAAAATCTGTGGATTCGTATTTGTACTTCTGGATTGCACTTCAGTGCTTTGATTGCTGTGCAGACTCACCAAGGAATGCACATCCTTTTTTCTCTCTTTTTCAGGGGGAACAGCTTCCAGACAAAAGGGCTTTTTGGGATGCATTCGATCTCTGCATTTAAATGGACAGAAACTTGACCTTGAAGAGAAAGCTAAAATGACACCTGGTGTTAAACCTGGATGTCCAGGACATTGCAGCAGTTATGGTAACCTGTGCAATAATGGAGGAAAATGTGTAGAGAAGTATAATGGTTACTCCTGTGACTGTACTAACTCAGCCTATGAAGGACCTTTCTGCAAGGACGGTAGGCAGAGAGCTTTGATCCTAAGTTCTTAGCAATCTTTGAATTACAGCAGTTTTACCTATGTCAGTTTGGTGTCCCCCATGTTACAAGAAGACGTTCTAATATCAGCTATCCCTTCAGCATTTGTTTATCTTAAGCAGCCTAGAGCCACCATTTGTGGAATTCAGTGATGGCCTCAGAAATTAAAATGGTATCATCAGTTGTCCTATTAAAGTTACCAGTTATATCCCCCTATGATCCCTGTATTCAACTGCATATAATCGGCCCAGAAATTAACAAATAGGGCTGAAATTTCTTGTAATTTCTTCTCTTGAAATTTCAGTGGTATGCCTGAATCTGAATGTCTAGTTTGTTTGGTTACAAACCTCATCCAGCTTCATCCACCTTCACAAAACCTTGAGACCTTTTATTTACAGAGTTTTAGAGCAATGGTGTGGCAAAAAGAGGTAATCTTTTTATGTTTTTTTGCCATTTCTGTGACAATCCATCCAAACTTACTTAAGAGACATAAAAAATAAGTGTGAAGCATCCAGGAGAAAACTGATTTACCTGGTTTGGTCTCTGGTGAATGTGCCTTTACTGAACCTTTCTGGTGGCTCACAGGAGATGTTCCCAATACCAGAAAAAGGAGCAGGGCATCCAGTTTAGATAGCACGTTTTTGGGGATTGGAATGAACTAGCAAAACTCCTGCTCAATTACAGCAAGGTGCCATATGAGTGTTTTAATGTCCATGGCTGCCCCTCATCTTACAAACATGAGATTTACTAAGTGGGTTTCATCACCTGCTGGTGTAAATCAGTGTAGTTGCACTGCAGTCCACAGAACTGTCATCAGTTACATGAGCTGAGGATTTCTCACCGATGGCATGAAAGGTGTATCAAATAACCACATAGTGTAGTGTTAGTAGATGCTGCTGTATAGGTGGAGCTGCTTTACTGGAGAAAGTACTTGCAGTCAGTCTGTAGTTGAAGATATCACCATCCTGATTTTACCTCACATTAGAAAAAAACCTGCTCTTATCTCATCTGTGTATTTCATGGCCAGGCTATGTTGTTTTCATTGAAAACACAAGCATGAGTTCATTGGTCCTTAGCATGCACAGGTAGATGTTTCTCTTCTTTTGGAGCTACCAAAAACATCCTCACTCACTGACTGTCTTTGGGTCAATGTTTTGCTTTAATAATGACTTTGTTTACAAAGGAGACTGAAAAGGACAAATACATTGGCTTTACTGGGGGAGAAACAGAAAATAATTGCCTTACAAGTCAGCTGTCAGAAGATGGTGAACTGAGCATTTATTTGGCTGACAGACATTTTGGCCTGTTCCATGTTGTGGAGTTCTTGTTCTGGCACTAAAACAGTTGAATTTAGATGCCCATATCCATACACAAACAGACTAAGGAAGGACACACTGCTCATCCAAAGTAAGGAATGGTGACATCAGTTGGGTCAGGGGCATTTTGCAGTACTTTCCTTCTGAGGCAGTCAGCTCATATCCATGCCTGTCTTGGAGATCTGAAAATGCAGTAGCTGAAATTCTGTTGATTTATGTATGCTTTCAGAGGTTTCTGCGTTATTTGAAGCTGGCACTTCCGTTACCTATATTTTCCAAGAACCTTATCCTGTCACAAAAAATGCAAGCACCTCAAGCTCTGCCATTTATGTGGATGCTGTCATGTCCAAGGAAAATATTGCATTTAGCTTTCTCACAGCACATACTCCAAGCCTTCTGCTGTACATCAACACCTACTTTCATGAATATTTGGCTGTGATTCTCTCCAAAAATGGTAAGTAGTCTTGATTTGCTACCAAAGGGAGACAAGTGTAACTGTGTTAAGTTTTTTGTGAGAATAGTACAGAATTCTGCTCTGATTTAAGTTCATTTCTGTGTCTGCAACTTTATCAACTTTGTGGTATTCAGTTCATGCAAATGGCCATCACTCTTGTTTATGTCCCTGTATTTGGCATTCAGTGCTACACTTGCCTATTCAGTCATTGAATAATCATGTTCTTGGGGTTTAAAATGTGCTTTGACTTTCATTTGGTAAGACTGTACAATAGCAATTCCTTGCTATTTATTCCACACTGAGATCCATTAGGACTCCAAGATAAGGGAATGAGAAATACCATGAACGTACAAGAACACTTGGTGGGGAAATATATTATCATTTTATCTGTTGCATTCTGTCTCAGTACATATATTGCTCTTCATGGGTTGTTTCAATGGAATATGGCCGGTACATCTGAGTATTAAAGCCAGAAAATGTTAGCGTTTTCCAAGTTCACTGACAAAAACATGAGGTGTAAATCCATTTTTTATTAAAAGGTACGTGGCATGGAGGCTTCTTGAAAACATGTAAAGATTTTAGGGGCATAAGCCCTGTGTCTTCTCAGGAAGACTGGTTCCTGAGTCCTTGCAGTGCTTTCAGAAAACTGACTCCAGACAAACACCACCCTAGACAAATGTGAATTATTCAAGAGTTATCAGGCACTGGAGCACTGGAAGTGATGAGTAAGCATGCTGGTGAGTCACTAGCTTGCAGCAGAAGAATAGAAAATTAATGCTACATGGTTGAATATATACATTTGACCAAATGACCCAGAGCACTCTAAAGCCTTGCAAATTCCAAAATAGCTAAGCTTTCAAGTACTGTCAAATGAAACTAGTAAGGGCGAAAAGAAATAAAAAGTGTTTTATTCTCTATATGGGCTTTGTAGTAGTTTATCTCATGGTTACATCACGTGTCTGGCATTCAGGCTGGCAAGAGATGAGTATCCAAACCCCTGGGAGGGGCAACTGGGACATTATCAGCCTGGACCCATCTCCCCTGGGCAGAAGTCACAGCAGGGCAGTGGGACTCCAATCCTAGATTTACATCTCTGATTTGCTCTCAGAGGCAAGTGTTTATGATTTTCAGATATATGAATATTCCAGTCCATAGCTCCAGGATGGCAGAGGTTAGGCCCTGCTGAGGTGAAACCTTGGAATACTTCTTAGTTACACTCTGGTTTCTTGATGCCACTCAGGCAATCAAAAATAGCTATAAAATGAATGAAAATGTAATATGCATTCAAATCACCTTTACTGCTGCCAGAGTAGTGTAAAATGACCTTAGAAACATGAGTCAATTGGCTTTTATTGATGAAATACAACCATAAGCAAGCTATAATTGTGATAGTATGGAAGGAGGGACTCTAATGGTGATTGGGAAAGGGGTTGGTGTCAGGATACTGGTGTCTCTTGTAGCAGCTCAGCAGGAGCAGGGATAAGCCTTGCATTTTAACAGCTACACCATCTGCAGATCTCCACTTTGGTTCAGGAGGAGATAGGGACTCTCAGTGCTTCTGGAAATTAGGTGGAGCCACTCGCAGCACACTCAGGCAATTTAAACAATGGTGTTTTTCTCAGATCTGTACTTCTATTTACTCACTTGTAAAAGGAAGATAACAGTAGTTTAGGAGGTTGGTGGGATGTCATCCAGACTATAGTCTCTGGACTGTAACACGGAGCATTATATACAAAGAATTATTACGATAACTAGCTGACCTTGGTTAACTCCTGAAAGTTTCTCTCAGGGTTATTCTGTGCATGCTTCTGTGTCATTCTTTCAAGACAGTCATTTCAGTCATGTATATTCTCAGCCTTTTGTCGCAAATGTAATCACTTTTAAATCTCATATCCTCATATTATTTAATCTTGTTGGAATTGAAATTATCCCAATGAAAATAATGTTCAGATATGTTACTCTTTCTTCCTCTAAGAGGTTTATGCTTGCCATAAAGTTACTGGACTATGAATACCAATGCCCTTTGTAGCATTAAAAGTGAGTGTGATTCATTCTCTCTTATTGGCTCATTTTCAAGGAATCTTGCTGAGTTTGACTGTATTGTAGGACCTAAGCAGGTCCCTGCTGGGTAACTGATTGGTTAAATAAAGGTTAGGCTCCTGGTGAAATGGAAATGGGCATTCTCACTTAAGAGGTGAGCAGTAATATTCTTTGCTATACTCCCAAGACCCTTTCCACTTGTTAAGAAACTGTATTAGAACAGTCTATGTATACCTTACTACTTTACCTTTTCTAAGTATTTTTCAAGCTACTTCTCATGTACCCTGTTATTCCTCTTTTCTATTATCCACAAAATAACTTGGCAAATTATTAGTTAATAGAATTGACAATGAGAAGAATGTTTCTGGTAATTAAGACTTTCCATGTTAAATATTTAACATTAAAGAAGTGAAAGTGTCTGCAAGGCTTATTCATAGCTAGTCTATAGTTAAAGGGACTTATATGAAAGTGAACTTGAATAGGCAGCTATGGTCTAATCCAGTCAGGTGTGAAATGTGTCTTTTCAGTAAAATTAATAAATAATCACATTTAACCCCAACACACTTTGCACTGTCAGTCTGCTAAGTAGATTATATCGTTAGAAGATACAGTATGTATTGATTGAGACACTAGAAGTGTGGTAATAAAATGATTCATTTAGAGTTACCCTACAGGTCAGTGTCAGGCCTGGGAAAGGAAATGAAATTTTCTCATGCCCACTCATGGCTTCACCCACCCAAATCAATGCTGCTCACAAAAGAAAGCCCTTTCAGTGCTTGGAGCCTTAGAGGGCAGTTGGTTCATAAAGGAAGTGATGACAGATGTTGGGTACCACCATATGTCAATGTAGAAGCTACAATTCTAGACCTATACAGATGACCTTCTCCTAGAAAATGAGAGGCTCAGTAGTGCCTAGCAGCTAATACTTCTAGAAACCGTTCGTACCCAAAGAGCTTATCTATATCACAAGGTTATTCTTACCTTTGATCAACTGGATCATGTCATGGCAGCTGATGGGTAAGTTTTAGAAAGTTGATGTTTTTAAAGATAACTTAGGGGTTTGTTTCCACCATTAGTTAAAGCTTACACTTCTAAATCATACATGTGACCTTAAAAACTGTATGCAAAAACTTACCATTGTCCTGTCCTCCCCAATCTTACTATCATACCCATGGATTTTTAAATTGCACATATATATAGATGTGTATGTATTGTATATAGATGGGGTTGCATATGTGTTTATAGATGGGTATGTATGTAAAGCTCACACAGTCCCATTGATCCCACATTCAAAAGATTAGCAGTACTATAGTATAATAGTAGTGTTATATAGTTGGTAGTGTTAGTATAATGTCAGTGCTGTAGAAATTTTAAGTTATAGTACCCATTACTAAGGTACAGAAAATGGATACACATCTCTAACTAGCCTTTTCAGTGTGTTAGTCCATGGAAGTTGTTCATATCATGGGAAGCTACTGCCAAGAAGAAAATAGGTTAAGTTTTCAGCATACATTTTTGCATTTATGTGATTTCGCCAAGCTACCAGTACCTTAGTATTAGTATCTGTGTCTTGATCCATAAAGACAATAATTGATGGGGGAGAAAAATTTTAAGAAAGAAGCTGTTTGTGCTTCTCCTTTCTCCTTCTTCCTTCCCCTCTGCAAGTAATCAGATGAGATATGAATATGACGAAGTATATTGTCTAGAAAATGTTTTCCCAAGTCTGTGATTCTCAGTGTTGGCTTTCTCCACAAAAACAATATGACTCTTAATCTAGAAATCAGCAGATATCCAGCATCAAATAAAAGAGATAAAATCTCAAACTATCCTAGAGTGATTGAAAATTTATCTGTATTTACTATCTTATCTCATAAGAAACTAAACAATTTGAGTCCTTTTTTTAATTTATTTCTATCCAGTACCTATTGCCATCATAGTGAGGTCTGTTCTCAATTTCTTTTGGAAATCAAGACTGTGAAATTGCATAGGAAAGATTAAAGGCAAGGAAAAAGGCACCAATTAAAATGACAAGAGCTTGAGTAATTCTTCTGTTAGGACTCTGATACTCAGAATGCAGTAGCAGGACCTAGATCAACTCCACTACCCTGTTCTGTAAGGGTCCGCTGATATCAGCTGATATCTAAAATAAATAGGAAAAGAAAGCAAAACCAGTAATAGAGGTAAGCTGAGTTAATACTCTGCAAAAAAGAAGCAAATGTCATCAGTGAGAAGCTACTGGTGTTTTTTTTTATTTTTAATCAACTAGAAATCTACTGTAATCTCCTTCTGCCTCTAAGTCAGAAGCAGCCTTTCTGTTGAACATGTGAATTCTTATTGGTTTTGCCTTGCAAGTCTGTTGAGCTGCATCTTCAACAACTTTTCTCAAGCAAGACTGAAGCTTTTGTCATCCAATGTTAAAGAAAGGCAAAAAATGTAGTTCAATCTTTGACATAAAGAATCTTTTGATTCTGCTCTTGCTGTGCATTCTGGAGTTCAATGGGGCAAAACTAAAATAATTAGGTAAAATTAGACTTACTGAAATACTGGCGTGGGTTTGGGGGGTGATTTTGCTGGTTCTTTCACTTTACTACCTTGTGGGTTTTCGTTTTGGGATGTGGTTACCACAGTACATAACTAACTGCTTCAGAAAGATCCTTTATATGCATTGAGCAACCTGCACAATTTATGTGACTGAAGCGGAAAATGGTGACAAGTTTCAGGTATAGTTATTTTTAACAGATCAGGAGCGGGAAAGTGAGTTGTTTTGGGAAGTGTGGGAGACAGCTTTATTGAGGAGACTAGTTTTCAAGCATCTGCCTGTGAGTGACTGAGAATTGTTCCCAGTCTAGCTCTGGTTCATAGCCATTAAATTACTTCATATGACAGGTAGTACTATATGGTTTTAAATGTAATTTCATGCAGTTGTTGTAGTTGGCCCTGAAATCTTATGTTATTTACTA